ATACAATCATCTTACCTTCCTAAGATAACAAAACAGGAGAAAAGTTTACTCGTATAAAAATAGCAGTCCAATTCTACTGTGCAGTCAGTGTTACAGCTTAAAATCGCTCCACAATTATTTCAGGAATCTTGCAATTTAAATATTTGTTAACAAAGCTGAGTATGAGATAAATACAATCGTCATCACATTTTCTATTCCTCTGTAAGGTCCTTCTCACAGAGCTACTGGGTCCTTTTTTTGCTCGAAATGCATATATTGCATTATTCCCCCAATTATGTTAATGAGACAAGGAAAGAAAAAAAAGTGAAATTATTTGAATTTAAAATGCAACCCTTGAACAGGTTCCTGTCCAATGGGAATTAAATTGTAAAAAAAGACTATAATTGAACCACTCTCAGGCTTTCTTCTCAGATTCCATAGCGCATCTAGGCTCAACCATTTTGTCACAGGGTGGAGGCATCATCTGGGGGATATTTGGTGCTCTTTGCCCTGAAAAATAAACAGTGACAATATTTTCCCTTATTATCTTAGCCTTCTGTTCCAATTTTGTCAACCAGGGTTTTCATGCACAAGAATAGTAAGAGTAAAGATGAAAGCAGTATAGTAAAAATGTGATTATAAACAAGAATCCTTTTTCCTCTGGAAGCAATTTGAGTGCCATCCTACGTTATTTGTAAATACAATCTGCATTCTGACTTTTTGTGCTTTATAAGAACATTTATAAAAACATCTATATTTAGAGTTTATTGGACAGTTTATGCCTCTAGATCACATCTCACATTTACATCGTATTCCTGAATTACCTTCTTAAGGTGCTTTGCCAGTTGTTAACCCTGTTTTTTATTCAGTAATCTACCGTTAGAAATGCATTAAGGACATGTGTGACAATCTGCATTATTTGAGACAAATCATTGAATTTTTCATCTTATTGGTCTACCGTCTAATCCCTGCTGTTGCAAACCCTGAATAGATACATTTTAATTATAGTATATATTATAGTTGTCAGATATTATTTGGCTTCATACAGAAAAATAGGAATTTAACCTATTTAGGGATGTTACGATTGATATTCATAAACATTAGTATTAAGTTGCACACACAGTTCAGTTTGTCCGATTTTCCCAAATTATGCTTCTATTGATGACAGCAACACCTATCTGCAATAGACAGACATCTTTTCCTTACCAGAAACTGCAGAATGTTAGGTTTTTTGTGTCCACTCTAACTTTAATTATCCCTGTAGTTCTCTGCCAAGCTATGCAAGGAGAAAAAAAATAAATAAGGTTCTCTTCCCATGGACTGTGAATGGGTGTGTATGGCAGTGCACAGATGTTTTATCAGATTGCAATGTCGAGTGGTGTCATGATTTAACTAAGGTCAGACCCAAAAAGCAGAGAAACTGATACAGAGAGAAACAGGGGAAAGCTTTAACAGGTTTATTGAGGGGATTGTGAAGAATCCAGTGTTGCTCTGAACACTGCTCAACCGGAACTGGAAAGTGAAGGGAAGACACTACGGTTAGTTCAGGCTCAGTGGGAAACTTGATTCTCAAACTTGACGAGGAGAAATAGATTGTTGACTCACATTTCCAGATAAGTGGTTGACTCTTAACTCCAGTCGGTGTGGGGTGTTCCAGTGTTTGTCTCATTTGATGGAGGGCGGACAGGGTTACCCAGAATGCGGTTGTTTGAAGGTGAACTGAGAAGCTGACTGCCACTTAGATTTCCTGCAGTACTTGAACGGGTTGTTGTGGAGATGAATCCCTTCCTCAGTGAGAAGCTCAAACGATCTATTGGAGGAAAGTAGTTCCAAATCACCAGTTTAAATCCTCAGCTCAGTTTGAAGCTCAGATGATCCTTCCAGGGAGAGAAGGTCCAGAACATCCAGTTTGCAGGATGACTTCCTGCCGAGATGCAAAGACAAAATTACAAGATTAAGACTCAGGTTGACAAAAGCTCAGTTTGATTCAGCAAAACTCAGCTTGGCTAGAGTACCCAAAACTGGCAAACACTGGCGTCGAGGTAGTGGCAGTCAGCAAATTAAGACCACTCCGTTAACAAGGTAACCCTCCGCAGGTGTGTGAGGAGGTGGACCAGAGTCAGGCGCCTCCTGGTGGAGGAAGAGAGACAAACACAAAAACACACCACACAGACAGGAATCCTAACAATTGGCTGTTCAAATCCAGACGTTGCTCTGACACTGGAAAGCATGTTCATACTGACGTGCTCCGTTTATGCCAAAACCTCTTAATTTATCATCTGATTGCTTACGAATCAGCCAATAGGAACCTTGTTATTGCCAAGATTCATACTTGACCAGCATGTACTGCTAGGATTCAAACACCCTGTCAACTACATTCTTTTTGTTGCCAAGTATGTATAAGGTCACAAATAAGGTTATATACGGCAGTACAACTGCTTCAGCAAGATCAGCTGGCTGGGGTCCTCACAGAGTTCTTTAACACCTCGCTGGACCAATTCATAGTGCCAGCATGCTTCAAGTCTGCCACCATTATTACGGTCCCAAAGAAGCCTCAGGTCACCTCACTCACTAATTACCAGCATGTCGCACTGACTCCAATCATGATGAAGAGCTTCGAAAGGCTGGTTAAAGAACACATCGTCTCCAGTCTGCCGCCAACATTCAACCCGTTCCAGTTAGTATACCGATGTAACCGCGCCACTGAGGACACCATCTCTGCTGCTCTCCATGTGAGCCTGGCACACCTGAAGGAGAAGAACACCCACATGCGGATGCTGCTCCTAGACTTCAGCTCAGCTTTCAACACCATCACCCCAGAGCATCTGATGTTACCCATCAGATGCTGGAACAGCTGGGTTTCAATACAACCCTTGAAATTGACTGCTAGACTTCCTCACCAACAGATCTCAGTCAGTCCGGGTCGGACAGAACACCTCTGATGTCATCACCCAAAGCACAGGCTCCCCTCAGGGCTGCATCCTGAGCCCCCTGATGACACAACTGGTTCACCATCAATCACATCATGAAGTTTGCAGACGACACCATGGTGGTGGGCCTCATCGGTGATGACAATGTCCAGAACTACAGAGAGGGGGTGGAGCAGCTGGTGCAATGATAACAGCCTGATCCTGAACGTTGAGAAGACAAAGGAGATCATTGTGGACTTCAGGATGAACTGGCCTAACCATGCTCCACTGGTCATCAACAGCTCAGCTGTAGAGGTGGTCAACAGCACCAAATTCCTGGGGGTGCACATCACAAACACCCTCACCTGGAATGTAAACACCACCTCAATGATCAAAAGGGCACAAAAGTGTGTGTACTTCTTGCAGAGGATGAGGAGAGCCCACCTGCCCCCACCCATCATCACCATCTTCTACAGAAGCACTAAAGAAAGCATTCTAACTCACCATTACGCACGTAATTTCTCATCACACTGTTATAAGCTCACCCACTCTTCTCAGAGAATCCAAAACAGAATCCAGGGACAAGGTCAGGGATCCAGGCGGCACAAAAAAACAGATCCAACAATGGCTAGGCAGGCTCAAAAAATCAGAAGGCAGAAACAGGTCAGGCTCAGGTAGACAGAAAGAAAAATGCTGGATGCTTACTAGCCAAGGCTTTCAGGCAATCTGGCACTGTCAAGTAGACAGAAGCCTGCTTAAGAAGGCTGGCAAACAAGTGAGAGGAATCAGTGGCAATTAGGCTGAGCATTGGCAGCACAGAGCAGAAGGGGGAGGGGAATGAAAACAAATACTAGTTGACAGGCCAGAAACATAACAGAGCTCTGCTTTCAGCCGACCACCAGCCTGTTAAGCCCATCCTCCCCTCTGTGCGCAGGTTGTCTTCAGGTCTACCTATTACATGCTCCTCCAGGACTCGTCTGTCATCTACACATTGTTGTTGAATTATATTACAATTAATTGCAACATCAAGTCTAGCTTGAATATCATGAGCATTGAATAAGATTGAATACATTAGTATTTTTGTTTATGCACACAGTAGAAAAACAGAAATTTGGTTGACACCTATTTAGTCTATCTTTTACCTACACTATTAAAATCTTACTGCCCATATATTAATTAATAAACTGATCACAAGACTGAAAAAGGCATGATATCAGGTAAAAGGTATTCAATTTGGGTGCACTTACAAAAGAACACCTATAAGGGGAGCAATAGAGAGTAAACCTGAGTGCAGTCACAGAACTATACAGCAGGGAGCCCTAGTGATTAGATCATTGTGAACTTTCAAACTCAGTTCTCATTAAAAATTAGGACCTTCATAAAAAAAAGAGTAACATCTATATGGCTAGTAGAGCTCATTACTATATGAAAAGTAAGGACAAGGTAAATGCCCTGACAAATAACACCTCACTTTGTTGGTTAAAAACTAGTTATAGTCCTTACTCTGATGTAGGAACAAACAACCCCCCACCCCACCCCACCCCCCAACCACCACACACTCAAACGCACTCCCAGGTATAATCTCTCATTCAAACTAGTATTAGTTCACGCACACATATATAAAATTTTAGTTCTTTGTGAGTGATTGTTTGTATTCTGGTGTGTGCATAGTTTTAGAGGTGCTTGTGAGAGTGGAAATATAGTTTCTATCCTAAACATTCTGCCATATATAAAACTGCTAGAAGTAGAATAATAAACTATTGTGGACACACCTAAATTTGTGATAGTAAACAGAGACCAAAGTCCAACTCAGATCAACTCCTGTAATTGCTTACTCTGGAATTTACCTTTGCAAAGGAGGTAAGAATGTATCTTAAAAGCTATTCAATTGTGTATATACATTTATATTTTATATGTTCATTGGAAAGTTTGAACTACATTTCTTGGATATTAAATATTCAACATTTTGTAAGTAAAAGGAACGGTCAGAAATCAACAATTTTTTTACTAATATTAACCTTAAAAGTATTCCTATTTTCATAAGTAATATGCAAAGTCAAATAATATTTTGTATTATTTTTTTAATGTGTCTTCAAATTGCAGGAAAATAACTATTCCATCTCTTCCTATCACCATGGGTATATATAAAACTGTTGCATTGGTCTTGACATTCGCCACATGGACACGTAAGTCCAGTAATATGTGCGTGTGTGTGTACCTGTTTAGCCCTGATAGTAGGGGCCATTTTCCAATTTTACCATCAGATTGAGGACCAGCTGTTGCAAAGTGAGGACATATTTATATATATATATATATATATATATATATATATATATATATATATATATATATATATATATATATATATATATATATATATGTGTGTGGAGAGAGAGGGAGCATTGTCTGTATTGTATTGTTTTTTTATATTTTAATGTCCCTCCACACACAGAAAGATGGTCACAGAAACATGAAGACATAGATTCAATGAAGACATCCATTGAACAGCAGTGGGTTACTGTTAAGATTAAACAAGAACCCAAATCACAACCTGAAAAAAAAGGTAATATAATAATAATATAATATAATAGTATAAAAGTTATTTCAATCCATGATGGAAATTGCTGATAAATTACTAGAATCTTTTATTGTTTTCAGAGTATTACAAACTCAAATGAAATGGAACAACTTGGATTTACACCTGCGGTCGCCATCTTAAGTGGTTCCCTCTCTCTAGAGATTGTTTCTGTCATTCTACTCATCCATATGGTTGGAGGTGAAGAGCTCTCTATCAAGGTTAAGTAATTAACCTATACTTTATTCAGAAAAAAAAAACACATAACTAAAAGATTTTATCTAACAGTGATGATGGTAAATAAATGTTTTTCAGTGGATGTACTGACATCTTTCTATGAAGTGGTTCCTCAGCTCTGCTATTTTGGCAGCATCATCTGGATGTTGTTTGGAGTTGTTTTTAAATACACCTCTAATAAATGTAAGTGTGAGTTACCATTAATATATATTTTTTTTACTTTTAATGGCTCATAATTTTAAAGTAGGATGAAAATAATTAGTGTTACTATAATTTGTGTTAGCTGTCTTTGCAGTCTTTTATCCTCCAAAAGTTTTCTTGCACCTTTAACTTAGCGTGTCTCTTTTCTCTAATAGTCTTCAATAAAATCCAATTCAACTAGTTACTTTCACAAAATTCACTAACTAGTAGGAGTAGGAGTGTGTGTAATTAAATGTCAATATGACTCAAGTTTTCCTCAAAAAATCAGGTTTGTAAGAGAAAATTATTACAGCATCTTGAATACCTGTCAAAAGTTTGGGGGCTTCCTGAATATAATCTGCCTGTGCACAAAAAAAAAAAAAAAACATGTGAAGCAATGCTTAACTGAAAACTCGTGAACCTTGCATTAGAGTTTGTGGTATTTATTCTGCTGTGAAAATTTTCATTAGATAAAAAGCACCAAAGCTTAGCAAATACTGTGAAGTTTGGCTCTCTTAATTTAACTCAGAGTAAAAATCTGATTATTTTGCATGAGATTGAGCTTTTATGATTTAAACTTGAATGATTAAACTGAATCAAATGTTCTCAGACAGCAACCAACATACCTAAAAAAAATCATGGAAACGTCCTGAGTCAGATGTAAACTATAATTATTCCTACTTCTACATCATGGAAATGCGTATCGGTCTGTACGTGGAGGAGCAAAAAACCCCTGTATATTGTTAAAGGCACACTTTCATTCCAACAGAATAAAGGTGGCAAATCAGCAGATTGATTCAAACAAGTAAGATGTGATGATTAACTAGGTGGAAAAGATTGTGACAGTCACATATCCATAAATAGCTGAACCATGGTGTGTGTAAATGTGCAAGGATGGCAGCCTTGAAACTGAAAGACATTGCTTTTTGAAAAATGTAGGAGTCAGGGGAGCACCCAGAGATCCTGCTGACCTGCTGGTAGTTCATAATGAATTGCCTGACTTTGGTGGTCCTCAAAAACTCACCTAAGTAAGTGGGTGGGTGGTCATGTGACCCAGAATGCCGTTTTACAGAACTCTGGGCTTTCCATTCAAAGCAGAGCTAGCTAAGCTGTGAGTTGTTATTAGGCTATTAAAAGGACACCCTTAGCTTATCAGACATATTTGATGATATAGGATTTAATCTGGGGATAAATATATTTTTTACAGAGAACATCATGAATACTCATTATGCAAAGTGGTCTGCTATCAAATTTCAAAACACTGCTTGAGGGTGTTTTGTTTTGTGACAGTGCAGTGTTCTCATTTGCTTTCAGGCAAGCTCAATTTGGTAGTTAAAGATCTAGTGTATCTAGTGGCTAAAAGTATGCAATGTTGCTTTAAGAAAATTATGCTGAAAAGTTGGATATTTGAAAACAAAAATAAAATTGTAAAGGACTAGATAATAAAAATTGTAGGACCTGATACATTTCCAGTTACATTTATATAATAAAGAAATCCGTCTCTGGTCAAACCTGTCTCACTCTGCTCAGTTATTTTCATTAAACACACTTTAACCTTGCAACTACCTTTACAAGAAACTGTACAGCTTATTTTTATTATTTAGTATTTTTCATGACATTTTGCAGTTTTTAAAGTTGTTTTTTTTCCAACACAGGTAAGATGTCTGAGCAGCAAAGGAGTTCAGAAGATGAACAACAAGTCAACAAGCAATTGTCTGAAACACTGAATAAAGTAAAAGAACACCTAGAGAACCAGAAAAAGAATCTGGCGCAGAAACTCAGAGAGGTTGAATTTAAAATGCATATAAACAAAGAGGAACTACAGAATGTAGAGAAGAAAATGACTGAGAAAGATACTTCTGATAGCAAGAATGACCTATTAGAGCAAAAAGAAAGACTGCTACAGTTACAATGGAAATTGGATGAGGAAAAAAAAGGTTATGAAAGACAGTTTCTAAACACAGAGAAGTCTCTGGAACCTATAGAGAATGGGTAAAATACATAAAGAAAAAAGATGATGCTTAAAAAAGAACAAACAGTGGCAAATAAGTAGATATGTTACACTAATAATTCTTTCAGCAGCAGTTGTATACCTGCTTTCTGCACCCAGCATCTATGGCATATGTTAAATCTTCCCGATTTGATGTAATTATATTTTTATAATTTTTAAATAAAAGAAAGGTATTCTGAATTAAATACATGTCTGTCTTTTGAATTCAATTGCAAATTGCAAATACAGTTAGGGCCAGAAATATTTGGACAGTAACACAATTTTTGCGGGTTGGGCTCTGCATGCCACTGCATTGGATTTCAAATGAAACCTCTACAACAGAATTCAAGTGCAGATTATAACGTTTAATTTAAAGGGTTGAACAAAAATATCTGATAGAAAATGTAGGAATTGTACACATTTCTTTACAAACACTCTCACATTTTAGGAGCTCAAAAGTAATTGGACAAATGAACATAACCCAAACAAAATATTTTTTTTTCAATATTTTGTTGCGAATCCTTTGGAGGCAATCACTGCCTTAAGTCTGGAACCCATAGACATCACCAAACACTGGGTTTCCTCCTTCTTAATGCTTTGCCAGGCCTTTACAGCTGCAGCCTTCAGGTCTTGCTTGTTTGTGGGTCTTTCCGTCTGAAGTTTGGATTTGAGCAAGTGAAATGCATGCTCAATTGGGTTAAGATCTGGTGATTGACTTGGCCATTGCAGAATGTTCCACTTTTTTGCACTTATGAACTCCTGGGTAGCTTTGGCTGTATGCTTGGGGTCATTTTCCATCTGTACTGTGAAGTGTCGTCCGATCAACTTTGCAGCATTTGGCTGAATCTGGGCTGAAAGTATATCCCGGTACACTTTAGAATTTATCTGACTACTCTTGTCTGCTGTTATGTGATCAATAAACAAAAGTGACCCAGTGCCATTGAAAGCCATGCATGCCCATGCCATCACGTTACCTCCACCATGTTTTGCAGAGGATGTGGGGTGCCTTGGATCCTGTGCCATTCCCTCTCTTCTCCAAACTTTTTTCTTCCCATCATTCTGGTACAGGTTGATCTTTGTCTCAGCTGTCCATAGAATACTTTTCCAGAACTGGGCTGGCTTCTTGAGGTGTTTTTCGGCAAATTTAACTCTGGCCTGTCTATTTTTGTAATTAATGAATGGTTTGAATCTAGATGTGAATGCTTTGTATTTACTTTCATGGAGTCTTCTCTTTACTGTTGACTTAAAGACAGATACACCTACTTCCCTGAGAGTGTTCTAGACATCAGTTAATGTTGTGAATGGGTTCTTCTTCACCAAAGAAAGTATGCGGAGATCATCCACCACCGTTGCCTTCCGTGGATGCCCAGGCCTTTATGAGTTCCCAAGCTCACCAGTGAATTCCTTTTTTCTCAGAATGTACCTGACTGTTGATTTTGCTACTCCAAGCATGTCTGCTATCTCTCTAATGGATTTTTTCTTTTTTTTCAGCCTCAGGATGTTCTGCTTCACCTCAATTGAGAGTTCCTTTGACCGCATGTTGTCTGATCACAGCAACAGCTTCCAAATGCAAAACCACACACCTGGAATCAACCCCAGACCTTTTAACTACTTAATTGATTACAGGTTAACGAGGGAGACACCTTTTGAGTTAATTGCAGCCCTTAGAGTCCATTGTCCAATTACTTTTGGTCCCTTGAAAAAGAGGAGGCTATGCATTACAGAGCTATGATTCCTAAACCCTTTCTCCGATTTGGATGTGGAAACTCTCATATTGCAGCTGGGAGTGTGCACTTTCAGCCCATATTATATATATAATTGTATTTCTGAACATGTTTTTGTAAAAAGCTAAAATAACAAAACTTGTGTCACTGTCCAAATATTTCTGGCCCTAACTGTACATCTATCCCATTTATTTTATCAGGGTAGCTATGGGGCTGCCGCCTGTCTCTGGCAGTCTATGGTCGAGAGGTAATGTTGTGCCAATTCATAATTAAAAAGAATGAGCTCAAAGTTCAGTTAACACAAATAGAAATAAACTAGCTCACGTTATTAGTTCACAAACATATAAATAAACTAGTTCAGGTAAATTAAGGCACAATCCTACACAATGGAACCTAATATATCACCCTTTAAATGTTTGATCATAATATAGAGAAAGAAATAAAACATACTGGATGTAGTCAAGGTATACTATATCTGCGAGAAGCCGTTTTGTTTAGCCAAATTACATTCAGGCTCTGCTGAAAAGATCTGTATCAAAAGGTATTTGCCAAGACAGCTCAGAGGCTGTAACTCAATGTGTCACTTTAGACTTGAAGTGGATTGATGTGCTGACTTCTTTGATATGCCACGTTAGCACAGCTTGCTCAGGAACATGAGTTGCTTTCTGTCTGAGTTTTTCTTTTGTTAGATCGTAAAAATCTGCAAAGCATTCTGCTACTTAAGATTTGAAAATAAACATGTTTTTCTTTAGGTTTTACTGAATAATGCAATGAAGAATAAACCAATTATGTACTTAAAATGAAAGCTTCAGGTTTTATGGTTCTGGTTTATTACCCCCTGATAATTTAAGAATTTTATCAAAAGAATCCATTGTACTTTAAATAATATTTATTTTAGGAACAAAGCTTTTTTGTGAACATTGTTGTTCCTAATCTGCAGCATAGATTCCTCTTGCACGTTGCAGATTCCACATGCTGGTTTGGATAATAGCTTTATGGGGCCATGTGCGGGTTGTGAATGTTGCAAATTTGAGGGTCAAGGAGCGACATTCAGTGGTTGGTGGTTCAGACTTAAGTCTGAGATGCTTTTAAACTTATGTGAAAATTGGCAAAGCTTTGCACTTAGACTTATACTAGGGGCGTATTGTTAAGGATCCTTTTTAGTTTTTCTGTATAATTATTTTTAATTTAGTTGGTATCATTGGCATACGAATATTTTTTATAAAAAAAATAAACATGCTGTACTCCCCTAAAAAGCTAATTTTGATTAATTTATTGAAAAACATTTGTGTCATTATTTTAAATGAGGCTGTCATATATTTTGTCATAACAACAATTCTTCATTGCACATATTTTAAACAGCAAAGAAATCATCTGTCCAAATAGTAAAAACTCAGGAATCCAAAATTAAAATTTTTAGTTTAAAGAAAAAAAACACATTTAATGTATTGGGTTCTCAGTTTGATTTGTTTTCACGGTATGATTTTTAATATATAAAAAATCCTGTCCTAATATTGACAGTACACACTAAAACCCTAAAGTTCTTCCCTTAAATATAATGAGATGTAACCAAGCAATTACAGGACCCTGTACGAATACTTTAACAGATTTCATTAGATAGTTTGGTTAGTACAAATTGTAGTTTAAGATGGGTTATTATAATATATATCAATACCATTTGAAAATGCATTAAGAATTTCAAATGGAAATTAAGTGCTGCTGTAACTGATCTTATGGGGTTTCTTCAACGTGTTGATACAAATACTGACAGCTTCTGTCAGGAAGGTTCTCCTGTAGCGGCTGTCTTAAAACGGCTATGGAAATGGCTCTGACTGAAGACACTGTGTGATGCAAAAGATGCTCATGGTTGCCCAAAATGCTCTTTATTTATGAATAATTCTTCTTTGCACAATAAAATTCTTGAACAGATTCCACAATAAACCCAGGCCTCTATGTCTAGATTGTTGATCTTCTGTAGGTCAATGGCTGATGCTGCTTCCCCAACAGATGACGGTGAAATCACAATTGTGTGATTTTACCGTCAAGCACAGGGAAGCACAGGGCCGCCGGTGTCCAGGCTACCATCACCAGGTCTGGTTCAGTGGCCTTGCTGCACTGTAGTCGACCAAAAGCCCAGACAAATTTGAAATTCCCGCCGGACATTTTTTTAGGTTTGAAAAATAGGACCTGTCAGAGAAAAAGTGGATGTTTGGTCACCCCTAAAGCAACAAGAGTAGCAAAAATGCGTGTGCTGCTTCATTTTTGATTATTGTACAAGTTTAGCTCTGATGCGTGGCTGAAGTATCTTTGTTGCTTTGGCTGCGCGGTGGAAAAAAATGGGTCTGATACTCGTTGGGTAGGGCTACCTTATCCTTTCTTTGCCTGTAACGACGGCAGCTATATTTTCTCTGATCAGTGGGTAAAAAGTAGTTTGAATCTATTTTGAAGTGAGAAAGTCCACCTGAACACATTGTCAGTGCAGTCAGTTCATCCAGATTACCTTCCTGCCTTCAAATATTATTTTGCTGTCTGAGCCGCTCAGATCCCCATACAACGGGGGTTCGCGGTGACTAGGAATCCCATTCAACAGAAGCCTTTGGCCTGGTCGTTTCCTTGTGGTTTGCTGCGGCGGCAGGAAGGCCTTTTTTATGTACGTAATCCAAACTGCAGGCACCAGGATAATAAAAGTGAACATGCTTTGCCAGCAGATTTTAACATTTTAAGTTAATTTAGGCGTTAATAAACGATTTCAGAGCAGTGATCATAGCACTCAGCATCATCATACTGTCTGTCTCCCTGCCAGCTCCATGGACACGCCTCTTTAGCTGCTTAGATGCGCTGCAGACAGTGTGCGCGTTCATGTTTTTTGAAGGTGTGGTTTAGAGAGGTTTTAAGGGAGAGGCATGGTTGTGTATGTTCAAAAATATAGCTTGCTGGAACCACTTTTCCAGGATCTTCTAATGCACCTTTAAGGAGCTGAGCTCTGCTTTAAGCTTGCTGCCAGTTAAGCCCATCAACCTTGCTGTGAACAGTCTGTCTGCAGGTCTACCTACTACCTGCTCCTACAGGAGTCTTCCATCATCTACACATTGTTGTTTAATTATACTACAATAAATTGCAACACCATGTCTAGCTTGAATATCATGTTCCCTGTCTGAGCATTGAATAAGACTAAAGACATTAGTATTTTTATTTATGCATACAGCAGAAAAATACAAATTTGGTTGAGACGTATTCAGTCTATGTTTTGCCTACACTATAAAAATCTTACTGTCCATATATTAAATAATAAACTGATCTCAAGACTGAAAAAGGCATGCTATCTGGTAGAAGGTATCCAATTTTGGGTCATTTCCAAAAGAACATCTATAGGGGCAGCAATAGAGAACCAGTTTGGTGGAAACCTGAGTGCAGTCGCAGAACTATACAGTAGGGAAAATTGTGAGGAGATCATTCTGAACTTTAAACTCAATTCTCATAAAAAATGAGTACCTTCATAAAAAAAAAAGAGTAACATCTATATTGTTAGTAGAGCTCACAACTATATGAAAAGTGAGTACAAGGAAAATGTCCTGACAAAAAACACCTCACTTTTTTGGTTAAAAACTAGTTATGGTCCTCACTCTGATGTAAGAACACACATCCCCACCATAACACACACACACACACACACAAACACACTCCCAGGTTTAATCTCTCATTCAAACGAGTATTAGTTCACGCACACACATATATGAAATTTCTGTTCTGTGAGTGATTATGTGTATTCTGGTGTGTGCATAGTTTTAGAGGTGCTTCTGAGAGTGGAAATATAGTTTCTATCCTAAACGGTCTGCCATATATAAACTGCTAGAAGAAAAAAAACAAACTATTATGGACACACCTACTTTTTTGATAGTAAACAGAGACCAAAGTCCAACTCAAATCAACTCCTGTAACAGCTTACTCTGGAATTTACCTTTGCAGAGGAGGTAAGAATGTATCTTTATTAGTTATTCTATTGTAGTATATATATTTATATTTTATATGTTCATTGGAAAGTTTCAACTACCTTACTTGGATATTAAATGTTCAACATTTTGTAAGTAAAAAGGACAATTAAAAATCTACAAATTTTTATCTAATGTTAACCTTGAAAATATATCTATTTTCATAAATATAATGCAAAGTCAAACATTATTTTGTGTTGTGTTTTTCATGTGCCTTCAAATTGCAGCAAAATAACCATTCAATCTCTTCCAATTACCATGGCTTATAAAACTGCTGCATTGTTCTTCACATTCGCCACATGGATACGTAAGTCCAATAATGTGTGTGTGTGTTTGTGTGTGTGTGTGTGGGTATGTAAGTGTGTCTGTATAGCATTCAGAATGAGGACCATTTTTCCAGTTTCTATATTAGATTGAGGACCAGTTGATGCAGAGTGAGGACATTTAGCTGGACCTTACAAGGTATTTTGCTAATGGTTAGGTTTAGGGCTAATGTGTCATTTGGATTAGGGTGAGGTATGCATTGGATATGGTAAGGTTTAGGGTTAGTTTTAGGGTTAGGGCATAGAAAGGGTAAAAATGACTGAAAATCAATGTAAGTCAAGACATACATATGGGAGTCCTCACTACATATAGCAGAACAAGTTTGTGTGTGCACGTATGTAGGTATATATATGTGTGTGTGTGTGTGTGTGTGTGTGTGTGTGTGTGTGTGTGTGTGTGTGTGTGTGTGTGTGTGTGTGTGTGTAGAGAGAAAGAGGGAGCATTGTGTGTATTGTTTGGATTTCTTTTAATTTTTTATCATGATGTAATTTCCTCATTGTCAGAGTATGACCGAAAGATGGAAGAAAGATGGTCACAGAGACATGAAAACATAGATTCGATGAATATATTCATGGAACAGCAGTGGATTAGTATTAAGAATAAACAAGAACCCCAATCACAACCTGAAAAAAAGGTAAGAAAAAAAAAATAAAATGAAAGAAAAAAAAAATATATATATATATATAAATATATATATATATATATATATATATATATAAATATATATATATATATATATATATATATATATATATATATATATATATATATATATATATATATATATATATATATATATATATATATATATATAAGGTCTTTCAATCCTCGATGGATATTACAGATAATTTAGAAGAATCTTTTTTTTTTTCAGAATATTACAACTTCAAATGAAATGGAGCGATTTCAATTTACATCTGCAGTCACTCTCCTAAGTGGTTCCCTCTCTCTTGACATTGTTTCTGTCATTCTACTCATTCGCATGGTTGGAGGTGAAGAGTTCTCTATCAAGGTTAAGTGATTAACCTATACTTTATTCAGAAAAAAAACACATAACTAAAAGAATTTATCTGACTGTTGTGATGGTAAATAAATATTTTTCAGTCGATCTACTGGCATCTTTCTATGAAGTGGTTCCTCAACTCTCCCTTTTTGGCAACATCATCTGGGTGTCCTTAGCCATTTATGATACCACCTTTAATAAATGTAAGTATAAGTTCCCATTAAAGTATTCTTTTTTACTTTTCATGGCTAATAATTTTTAAAGTAGGGTAAAAATAATTTGTGTTACTATAATTTGTGTAAGCTGTCTTTGCAGTCTTTTATCCTCCGTATTACCCTCCAAAAGTTTTCTTGCACCTTTAACTTAGTATGCCTCTTTTCTCTAAGTCTTTAATAAAATCAAATTCAGACAGTTACTTTCACAAATTTTACGAACTAGTAGGAGTAGAACTGTGTTTAATTAAATGTCAACATGACTCAAGTTTTCCTTTAAAAGGCGTAAGAAGTTTTTAAGAGAACATAACTACAAAACCTTGAAGACCTGTCAAAAGTTTTGGGGCCTCCTGTATAAAATCTGCCTTTGCACAAAAACATTCAATTCATTTTTAACTCAAAACTTGATATGTATAAAAATGAACTTTGCATTAAATTGTGTGGTATTTATTATGCTAAGACAATTTGCAGCAGCCACACAAATGTTTTCAATCCACAGCAAAAAGATAAAAAGCACAAAATCTTAGCTATTGCAGTGAAATGTGGCTCTCTTCATTTAATTCAGACAAAAAGAGTAAAAATCTGATTATTTGACATGAGATTGAGCTTTTATTGTTTAAACTTGATTGATGAATCTGAAACAAATGTATAATCAGACAACAATGGACATATCTCAAAAAGCATGGAAACGTCCTCAGTTGGATATAAACTGTAAATATTCCTACTTCTAGGTCAGGGAAATGTGTATCGGTCTATACGTGGGGGAGCATAAAACCACTGTATATTGTTAAAGGCACACTTTCATTCCAACAGAATAAAGGTGGCGAATCAGCAGAGTAAGATGTGATAATTAACAAGGTGAACAAGATGGAGACAGTCACATATCCATACAATGCTGAGCCATGGTGTAAATGTGCAAGAATGACAGCCTTGAAACTGAAAAACATTGCTATTTGAAAAATGTGGGAGTTGGGAGCGCCCAGAGAACCTGCTGACCTGCTGGTAGTTCATGATAAATTGCCTGTTAGCTGGCTTTGGTGGTCCAGCATCACAGAGGGATACTAAGTAACCGAATTATCCCTATGTGTCAAAGATGTTTTTTTAGATGGTGCTAATTGATTGGTTGGGTATTTAATAGTAAACCTGAACCATACCCATCATAACCATAATATAAACTTCTCTTGTAATTAAATAGACACAGATAAAATCACAGTTTCATTACGGGGGTCAATTTCTACATGGAATCAAAACTATGAGTGCAATTATACTGCTGTAAGGCATGGTGTGAAAACTTTGCATTTGCATTAGTAAATGGAAAGCATTTTCATTGCAAACACTTTTTCCTAAGCTTTATTCAGCCTTAGTGCTACGACAGCACAGCAGTTCAGTGTGCTGCCCAACTTCCAGGAGCTCCTCTGAGACAAAATAGAGAAGTGTTGAGATCAGACTCTCAGGGCCGGATCTATCAAAGGTTTGCGTGTATAAAAACGTGAGCTATTTCACTGTGCACGCTAAAAAATGTACAAATTGATCTATCAACAGCGTGCTAAAAGGATTTGGTCTTTAAAACGTGCTAAATAGCGCCTCTTATCCATTTAGTACTTTAGTACTAGTACTGCAATGAATATGCAATATGGGGCGTTTACACGCTAAAGTGCGTCTTGTGGGAGGAGAACATGTAAATATATTAATTTAGCACTCGCAAAGTGATTTATCAAACATGAAAGCAATTTTGCTAACGGTATCTGACTCTATATTTAACACGTTTCAAAAGAAGGTGCAAATGGTCTGTATGCGTAATTGCGCACACATGGCAGCGGTTATTGTCGCAAGAAGGAGACATGGAAATAAAGGCAGGAGACGCAGAGAACGCATTTTTTCACTCCGTGTGAATATTTTTGCAATGAACGAGGAAACGATCATCAAAACATATCGTTTATCCAGCATTGCCATTTTGGAGCTGTTGGGGGAACTCCGAATGGATTTGGACCCAGCCACAAGGAGGATCCACGCAATACCAGATATCACAAAATTCCTTGCAACGTTGCACTTTTTTGCATCTGGGTCATTCCAGCGTACGGTTGCAGCGAGAGCTGGGATCTCCCAATCTCGTTTTTTCAGAAGTGCTGTCCGACGGGGTCGGGGTTCTCCCCCTGCGCCTGTGGAGCAACGTGCCAAATGCTGCGGGGATCTCATCCACAGTCACAGGCCAATACAAAACACCTGTTTGTTTTTTTTTTGTTTTTTTTACTGCAGCACATACCACCTTAGGGAATAAAGGTTGCCAATTTATATATATATATATATATATATATATATATATATATATATATATATATATATATATATATATATATATATATATATATATATATATATATATATATTTATTTACTTATTAATTTTTTTTGTTGGGGGTCACTGTAAGATTTAAATTTCTTAATGCACTAGTTTGTACAGACTACAAACTACTTTGCCGCAAACCACAAAACGCGCAAAACCATCATTTAAATAGGGCGTCTCCAACAGTTTTGCACCTTCCACCAGTTACGCAATCACTCTTGTTAAATCACCCGCAAACCATGGTTCAGCCCCTCGCGCAAAATTCCAGTTTGCGAGCGCAAATTACTGCACGCAAAATTGGATCTTGATAAATCCGGCCCTCAGAGTTTTATCTGGTAGCCTGTACTTATATAATAAGTCATAGGACTCAAAAGAGCTTTAATCTACATTCAGTTGTTCACCCATTTATGCACTGATTGTGGCAAGCCAGTGGGGCATACTGAAAGAAGCAAGCTGCATACAGGCAGCATTGGACCTATCAGTAGGCAATGTGAAGTCTCTTACCCGATAAAACAATGACAGAGACAGAAAAAGCTTAAACTAAAGCAGCAACTAACTTTCTGGTTGCAGGAAAACCCCCTGCATCATATGTCACGTCTATAGATGGAGCAAAATACTGCTGCATGACTCTTAACTAAGACCCATATGTTTGATCAGATCTCCCCAGTTTTAAGCTTAATTTGCTGATTGTCAATTAATTTTAGGATTAATTTTAAAATAGCTTGATATTGTGATCCCAACCCTTATCAATATGCTCAGGACAAATCTGAGAAGAAGGTGCAAACTCGCTGACTGAATACAATTAAATCAAAAGAATAAAAATGAGACCAATTACAGCAATACTGTAAAACTTTGGATCCAATATTAGCTTAATTTGAGATTGTTCAAATAATTTTTCAAGTCAATGTTTAGCACTTGGTCCATATCGATGCACTTTGTGGTCTGCTATTTAAAAAAATCAGTATTTGTTGGCCTCAACGATCTGGGACTTGTTGCTGTTATCTTTGCAGCAGACCATCTGAGGAGTAGAACTTAAACTATTGAATGTTTTCCACCCAGTTATCTGTTTTCTATACCCTACCAGCTTCTCCTTCAGTCTTGTTGTAGAGTGAGTTCCTGTCCTTATCTGAAAAAAGTGAAAAGCCCTTTGGGAAACTCCTCCAACTCCCATTGTCATTGTGACACAGCACACACAAGTGAACACTGCACACCATGAAATTGCATTTATGCCTCACCCGTGCAAGGGGGCAGCCCTCAATGGCGCCCCAAGGGAGCAGTGTGGCAGGACGGTACCATGCTCAGGGTACCTCAGTCATGGAGGAGGATGGGGGAGAGCGCTGGTTAATTACTCCCCCCACAAACCTGGCAGGTCGGGAGTCAAACCGGTAACCTTTGGGATCCAAGTCTGACACCCTAACCGCTCACCCACGACTGCCCAGACTGCCCTCTGTCATTGCATGAAATGCAGCCAGCAGACATTGCTAGTTGCTATTCCATTAAATAATATTTTTAAACAAATCTGGAGTTTGCATCCCTCATTTTGCAGGAAAGGTAATCTGCAAACGTACCATGAAGCTCAAACCCCTGCTTCAAAACGATGACGCTAGATAGAGCAAAAGTTCTAAGTGCTAGATGGCTCCATCAGATTTACACTTAAACTGTTTTACAGAATTCACCATCTGACAAGGCTTTTTTTTTCTGAAGATAAACAGCAAGAGAAAGTCAGACTTTTTAAGGCTCTTTTTACATAATTACTAAGAAGACAGTAGCTACATCCGTAGGGGGAGGTTACAAACTGCTTGGTCTTGCTGGCAAACTAACAATTATAGGCTGCATACTGTCTGTAATACAGGTTTGATTTGAATTTATTTATTTATTTTTTTATCTAAGCTATTTAAAAACCTTTCAGTAATAAAAGTGAAATTACCATAAAGCTGATATATACCGGTATGTGAAATCTATGTTAAAAGGTTTCAGGTGCTGTTACGTAAACAGTTTGCCACAAAATCAAATCTATTATTAGAATTGCAAAAAAACTAAAATCTAGTGATAGATTTAAGAAAGAAAGATTAATGATTCAGTAGAAAAAGGTCTCCCTCGAAAAAGAGATTTTATCTCAAGGGACTTCCTGGTAAAATAAAGGTAAAATAAAATAAATAAATGTTTGAAGAAATTAAGAGATTAATAAAAAATTATTAGACAAAGGAGAAAAAAATTGTTTTAACAAGCTAAAGTGTTCCCAATCAGTTGGTTTCAAAATAAGAATATAATCAAACATATGTATAGATAAGCTTTAAGAAACTAATATCACTAGCCAGTTATTGATACAATTTAATAGAGCTGAAAAACCGCTCTATCAAAGTTACTCTCTGTGGGTACAGCATAGAGAAGAAGAAAATCTTTCCTCACACAGCAGCAGAATGCTACAAAACATTTGCAATCAATAGCATAGTATAGCCATCTATCAGGTCTATACGATAAATATTTCCATCACTGACTGAACAGTGAGGAAAAAATACCACGTCTGTATGCTGAGGTCTAGAAAAAAGGATTCTGTCTATTTAAAAAAACCCAGGCAGTAAATTGAATGAACAAAAACCGAATGCGTTTCAGACACTTTGTGGCCCGGATGATGACGCTGTAGTTCCTCCCATATCCCCCGATCCAATCAGGACTTGCCTTAGAGAGATACAGCCACTTTTGAATGTATATAATGCCTATTCAGTAAAACTGTTTAGCGATAGCACCACCCCTTTGCCAATCTGATAAGTAAGCACACACAAGTTTATGGATGTAAAGAAGCTTGTTAAAAACCATGGGCAGTAAATGTAGTTAAAAAACGTCATTTACCCATGTGCATGCACGTCTCTTTTTTAATGTGATAACAACTTATTTCACTTATCCTTTAGTGTGCAAAAGAGCCAAACAGTAAATACTGTTTAAAGAGGTTTCTTGAGTCACATATCTATTTTTCCTAGGCTGAAAAACAGCAGTGATATATTTGTAACAGTACAATAAAATTTGAATTTCTTTTATTATATCATTCTTATTTCTCCATAGATTGCAAGTGGAGGCAGTCCACAATCCAGGACACTGAGGCAAGAGGAGGTCAGCAACAACCACTTGTTCCTAAAAACACCCATGAAGACTGCGCTGGAATTGAGAATGAAGATGGTAAAACTACTAAGTCATCTGAAATATTTCTATATTGAAGGGATGAACTAGAATAAATTTTTCCGTTTAGTGATTATAATGGGGTCAGTTACAGAAATAAACTGATGCATTTTCAGTGGAAGGAGATGAAAAATCTAATTTCTACTTGTCCTTGTACATTAGAGTATAATCAGGGCTGTATTAGAATCTTTAATGTTGGTTTACAACTGATGTTACATTATTTTTCCCAACTGAATACAGCTTAATAAATAAAATACCTTGTGCAAAGACTAAAACAATGACTATTAAAATTTGCTTTGATGACAGATTGCTAGACATAAATAGAAATACAGTTGGAATAATATAATTTGTAAATATATTATATAAAATGCAAGTTATTAAGGATTATCTCAAACAATAGTGCATAATTTTCAGAGAAAAGACCTATAAAACATTTTTTTCATTCTTATTATTCTTTATCCAGTTTTGCAGCATTAAAATGATTCTTTTTCTCCTTTTTGTAGCAAGAGATGAAAGTAAAAAAAAAGTAAGTCAACTGAGATAATTATAAGTTAAAGACAACTTGATTGAATTCAGATCATTTTAGTGGCTTTAAATATAGGGAAATACATATACATTTTCTTCCATCTGACTGTCAAGAGACATTATATTATTTTTTTTTAATTGGTACAATTAAGATAACTTCTGCAAAGAAAAAAAAATATGACTATTGGAATTTGCTATGATGATAAAGTGATACACATACAGTTGACATACAAACATTTGATAATACATAGGAATAAAATGTAAGTTGTCAAAGAATACATGAAACAATACTGAATAGTTTTTCAAAGAAAAGAATTACAAACCTTTTTTTGTATTCGTCATCATATTCTGGAACCTTACATTTATTCTTTTTCTCCTTTTTCCAACAGGAGGTAGAGACAGGCTGAATAAAGTAAAAACACAACTAGAAGAAAAGAAAGCTCATCTGGACAAACAACTCCAAGATGTTGACAATAAAAGAGAGGAAAATAAAAAGGAACTTCAGTCGGTGGAGGAGAAAATAACTTACAATGAAGCTGATGACAAGGAGATGTTTTTAAGGAAAAAAGAAACGTTGCTTCAGTCACAGTGGAAACTAGATGAGGAAAAGAAACATTTTGATAGACAGCGGCTTGACATAGAGAATTTTCTGGAAACTCTAGAGTTTTAGCTAACATGAATAGAAAATTACAACAATAAAGGGGTTTAAATCAGAAGCAAAGAAATAATGCTAATGGTCAGTGAGCTTTTATAGAGCTAAATTTATATAGGTCTAACCTCAAAGTCTGTTTAGTGTCTCAGCTACAATTTCCTATTTGTACCCCAGAGCCCCGTTCATTACTAAAGAGTTTTCAGTTAGAACCTCCTGATTAAGGTCTTGAAAGCCATTTGTTTATTTTTAGAAATTTCAGATTTCTGAAACCAATGGATTTTTTGGAATTAAATGCAAAGTTTTTTTTATTATGCACCAAGATCATGGTATTTGTGAATCAATTTGTATGTTGCTGTTTTGTTATTAGTTGACTATAATTTCTGTGTTTTACTCTCTTTGAATAAATACTATGATAACTTTTAAAATTCTCAGATCTTTTTAAAAACTTCTGCTCTGTAGAATCGTTGGGTTTTGTATGGATTTATGATATTTAAATAATTTTAGACTGCAATATGTTTTTATTGTCCCAGCTTCTCCACAAAGCCCTCAGGGTAGTGGCTCAGCAGGACAAGCTCAGGTCCTGGCTCTTCTCCTCAAAGCCCTCGGGGTTTTGGCTGGGAGTGCAGGGAAAGCCAGTTTTAACTCCCGTGATCCTGGCTTCGAGGAGAAGCCAGTTTAGTTCTGCAGTTCTCGTGGTAGCAGCCTGCCTTTTCCTAGGGTCAGAACTAAACAGGGGGAAGCAGCTTTCAGTTTCTATGGTCCTCACATCTGGAATAAACTCCCAGAAACCTGCAGGTCTGCTGCTACTCTCAGTTCTTTTAAATCAATTCTAAAGACCTTTCTTTTTGATGTTGCCTTTCTCTAAATGACATTCATTTCTTTACTATTTAATCTCTTATACTGCACTGTATTTTTTTTATTCTTGTTTTTTATTCTTGTTTTTATTTTTAACTGTTTCTTCTGTGTTTATTATTGTTATTTATTTTCTTAACTGATTTTATGTAAAGCACTTTGAATTGCCCTGTTGCTGAAATGTGCTATACAAATAAAGATGCCTTGCCTTGGTACCATGTCTTGTCTCTGTTGCTCTCAATCACTGAGCCCGCCTGTCTCCATCTGAGCGTGTCTGTCTGAGCTCGCTGCTGGACTTATTGTAACGCCTTGGAACCCTGCCTGAATGCTCCGTGGATTCCTGGATATGTCAGTTCCTGTTTGGATCATTAACACATTACACCAGTTCTTCCGTCTTTGCACTGGCTCCCTGTTCATTTTAGAACTGATTTTAAGATTTTATTGTTTGTGTTTAGAGCCCTTAATGGGATGACTCCTCAATACATCACTGACCTCGGGTTAGGGTTAGGCAAGTGCTCCGAGGTCTAAGGGCCATCTTCAGTTAATAGTGCCTAAGACTAGGCTTAAAACCAGAGGTGACAAAGCCTTTTCTGTAGTTGGCCCCAGACTTTGAAATACTTTGCCCCTCCATATACGGACTGCCTCTACGGTGGAGTGTTTTGAGCAATGGTGTAACTTTCTGAAGGACTGGTGTGGATATGTCCCCACCAACTTTGGGCATGGGGGGGACAGTCCCCACCAAAAATGTCTGGGGTTAGGTGCAGCTAACTGTGTTCAGAGCGTTTTCAGTCCGTGTTTTTTCCTCGCTCTGCCGCTGCTCTCGAGTCCCATTTCTCTGTGAAACATCATCAGATCTGAGGCTTTGGGACATTTACTGCATACAGAGTCACTACGAGGATGAGAAGGGATGCTGATATGGCAAGCCAATTTAACATACAGGTGCTGGTCATAAAATTAGAATATCATGAAAAAGTAGATTGATTTCAGTAATTCCATTTAAAAAGTGAAACTTGTATATTATATTCATACATTACATACAAACTCATATATTTCAGATGTTTATTTTGTTTAATTTTGATGATTACAAATGACAACAAATGAAAATCTCAAATTCATCATATCAGAAAATTAGAATATTACTGAAGACCAATAAAAACAAAGGATTTATAGAAATGTTGGCCAACTGAAAAGTATGAACATGAAAAGTATGAGCATGTACAGCACTCAGTATTTAGTTGGGCCTCCTTTGGCCTGTATTACTGCAGCAATGCGGCGTGGCATGGAGTCGATCAGTCTGTGGCACTGCTCAGGTGTTATGATAGCCCAGGTTGCTCTAATAGTGGCTTTTAGCTCTTCTGAATTGTTGGGTCTGGTGTATTGCATCTTCTTCTTCACAATACCCCATAGATTTTCTATGGGGTTAAGGTCAGGAGAGTTTGCTGGCCAATTAAGAACAGGGATACCATGGTCCTTCAACCAGGTACTGGTAGCTTTGGCACTGTGTGCAGGTGCCAAGTCCTGTTGGAAAATGAAATCTGCATCTCCAAAAAGTTGGTCAGCTGCAGGAAGCATGAAGTGCTCTAAAACTTCCTGGTATGTGGCTGCGTTGACCCTGGACCTCAGAAAACACAATGGACCAACACCAGCAGATGACATGGCACCCCAAACCATCACTGACTGTGGAAACTTTACACTGGACTTCAAGCAACGTGGATGAAGTGCCTCTCTTCTTTTCCTCCAGACTCTGGGACCTTGATTTCCAAAGGAAATGCAAAATTTACTTTCATCAGAGAACATGACTTTGGACCACTCACCAGCAGTCCAGTTCTGTTTCTCTTTAGCCCAGGCAAGACTCTTCTGACGCTGTCTGTGGTTCAAGAGTGGCTTGACACAAGGAATGCGACAGCAGAAACCCATGTCTTTCATACGTCTGTGTGTGGTGGTTCTTGAAGCACTCACTCCAGCTGCAGTCCACTCTTTGTGAATCTCCCCCACATTTTTGAATGGGTTTTGTTTCACAATCCTCTCCAGGGTGCGGTTATCTCTCTTGTTTGTACACTTTTTTCGACCACATCTTTTCCTTCCCTTCGCCTCTCTATTAATGTGCTTGGACACTGAGCTCTGTGAACAGCCAGCCTCTTTAGCGATGACCTTTTGTGTCTTGCCCTCCTTGTGCAAGGTGTCGATGGTCGTCTTTTGGACAACTGTCAAGTCAGCAGTCTTCCCCATGATTGTGTAGCCTATAGAACTAGACTGAAAGACCATTTAAAGGCTTTTGCAGGTGGTTTGAGTTAATTAGCTGATTAGAGTGTGGCACCAGGGGCCATCAATTTTGAACCTTTTCACAATATTCTAATTTTCTGATATGATGAATTTGAGATTTTCATTTGTTGTCATTTGTAATCATCAAAATTAAACAAAATAAACATCTGAAATATATGAGTTTGTATGTAATGTATGAATATAATATACAAGTTTCACTTTTTAAATGGAATTACTGAAATCAATCTACTTTTTCATGATATTCTAATTTTATGACCAGCACCTGTACTGTCTGTTTCGTCTGAACTAACTATGGCAAGCGTTTTAACATAAATTCGCAGCAACACCCAATGAATTTTAACTGGCAGCTACTTCCATATATGTTTAAGTAAAACTTAGGAGACGGGTTGGTTAAAAAAAATCAGAGATGCCACTGAATAATCCGTTAGTTACACATACGGAACTTTTTCAGCTAAAAACGGCAGCTGATTTTACATTTATATAAGTTAAAAAAGCTGGGCTTCTCAGGACCATACCCAGAGTTACAGATTAAAATGAACAAATATCTGTTTTTTTTTTTCGTATTGAACAGAGAATCAGACTGCAGAGCTTTTAGAGTTCCTGAAAATTATTTTCTCTGGAATCGTTATATTGGTAGACAGGTTGATAAATCTGTTTTTAAGCAGAACAGAGACACAAATAGGGACAGCTGCAGATTTAGAGGTGAAACAGATTTACTGGGATATGCAACATGCAATGAAATGCATTGCCAAGTTTACAAGAAAAAATATGCAATGCTATAATAAAATTGAACATATCTTTTTGTCTTTTGTAGTTCAACGAGACTCAGAAAGAGCTGCAACCCAGAGACAGTCAGACTCAAAGGACACAGACTTAAAATTAAAATATAAGAAACCTACAAGAATGAAAGCACAAATAACAAACAAGTGTATAAATGATTTATGAAATATAAGGTTCAACATATAGACTTTGGCCATCAATGACATTTGGGACAAATTTCTGAATTACATTTTGCTGCTTGTGAAGGAGGATAATCACTGATGCAGCTTAAAGGGAAGCCATGCATTGATGGATGGATGGAATTGAAGATGTGTCCATACTAGGGATCCATGATATATTGATGTTGGCATTGGATATCGACTGTTATTCATCATTTTTTATACATTAATGTGCTTTAGCCCTTTATAAAACAATGCACTAAAGAGGGCATCTGTCTATAACTATATATAGCACAAATGTATTGTTGCACTCTTGTGTTCTCAACAATAGTAAAGCATTCAATAAATATATGTTTGAGCTAATTTTTGGAAAATATAAACCCCATTGAAAGCATTGGGGTTGAGTAGGTGTAGGTCCATCAACCACTATCCTTAGAGCGCCCCCACCAACTTTTATCGCAAAGTTACTCCCTTGGTTTTAAGTCTCGTCTTAAGACCCACTTTTACCCTTTGGCCTTTAAAAATGTGTAGTTGGGTGGTCCTCTGTGTCCTTTTTAGTTTATTTATTGTTGTATTGTGTTTATGTATTGTTGTGTTGTTGTTTATTATTTGTTATGTAAAGCACATTGAAAACTTTTTTCTGTTGTTAAATGTGCTATATAAATAAGTTGGATTGGATTGGATCAGAACCCCTGATCGGGCTACGGACTCCTGGATCTGAGAATAGTCCGGTTCTGAACTGTTTCCCTGACCTGGATCGGTCACGTGCCTGCTCGCTATGGTCACCGAATCAGGGACACTCTAGATGGCTCAGCACCGCATGTTGTTGGCAGTGCATCAGCTGATCCTGCCTCACCCATGAGGAAGGACTTAATTGTTGAACCAGGTAAGTGACTCATAGGGATAATCATCTTTTGTCTAATTATCGTGGTCACTTACCTGTGTGTCTCCCACAACCAGAGCGCCAGTGATGGGTGATGCTCCGCTTTCCCCCTGCAGTTGCTGCAGTTCCGCTGATCCACAGCATCCCGTTTCTGTTCTCTGTTTGTTCCGTTTCTGTTTGTTGATTTTTGTCATTTGTCAGGAAACCTCCTCCATGAATACTGGGTCAAATGGTCTTGTGTTATGACAAATTTAGAGCAATTGAATTTTGTACTCCAATTTTTGCTGATAAACTGTGGGAGATAAGCACAGGCACTGTCTTGACCCTGACAGAAATTTTGCATCTGTCCAATAAAATTAGGATAAACTTGTTTGCTATTTTTTCAAATTCCAGTTCATAAAGAGTAAAGAAAAACTGAGAGCAAATGCTTTCTTGTCACTAACTAAATCATGCACTAAATATATATATATTTTTAAAATCAATAGAGCATAAACATATATTTTTTTTTCATTTTGTTTTGGGCTCTTACACTATTTTTGTGTTTATGAGCTCTATCACAAAGACCTCAGCCTGCTGGACACCGGACACGTGAGTGCTGGCTGTATTTAATAAACAAACAACGTAACCTCTATTATCAATTTAATAATAAATTCATCAAAAAATAAAAGTTAGAGTTGAAACTGAATGAATATCTTAAATAAAACACCAGTGTCCTTACGTTAATTAAAAATGTCCTCATAAAGCCCATCAAAGGCAGATGGCAAAAAAGAAATAATCCAAAATGAAAGGAGAATGTTCAAATTATTTATCACTCTTGGCAGGCTTCCATATTAGAACAATGAAACTCTCAATTTTTTATTAATGCCCTACCATCCACACTTCTGGTTTTGCTAAGCCTCTTCGCTCTGAGTTTCATTGTTCCTAATGATTTTCATTTTTGATACATCATGAAGTAATTAAGTACATCATTGTGTTTTCATTACACAGACTAGCATCTTAAATTAACATATATTTTTGTGTTGGTGCCAGAATCAAAAGAGTACAGATATTTGATACCTGCTGCCACTGACAGACAAGAAAAAAATAAATAA